AAGAGCGGTTTTTTGTTCTTCACTTCCGAAAGGTCGAGGACACCAACTGCCAAATTATTTAAGCAAATCACAGAAATTGTTAAAGACCCCAGGCTAGCGTAGCGGTTGTACTGCACTGGCTAAATTGCTCATCTACAGCGAGTGACACGTCGCAGCTTTGGAATGGCTGACCAACTACTCCCTGTATAGGTATTCAGACAACCCCAATTATTACTAGAGGAACTGCCCTGCTTGCAGAGTATCGCCTTCCTTTTCCTTTCCCCGCCAACTCCGTATTGGCGGAGGTCACGTGCGCCGAGCTGGATCCAATCATCATGCGGGAAAGCGACCTTGCAGGCGCCGTCGCTTTGCGTTTGCGAAATATACATCCCACATAAAAATCGAACCAACGGGAAGGTTCCTTGACCACGGAACATTTTGTGTAGCCCCAGGGCCCGTTTGCTCGAAGCCGGTTAACTTTAACTGCGGTTAAAGGTTAACCGCTTTTCCCTACTAGGTACCCACAAGTACCTAGCCAAGTTTGACGAGGGCTGGATGAGCGATAGCTTCGTGTTCTATTATGGTTGGTAGCTGGTGTTTCCTGCTGGTTTGCAACAACTATAAGTGGCCTTTCTGGAAAGTTCCCGAAAAGCGGGCACCCAAGAATGCTTACTACCGGGTTTTCGAGACGCAGCGCGGCATACATTAGAGCTTAAGCAACACTTTTTGTGACTCGTGGTACGGATATTAGGTAAGGTAAAACTAAATTAACACTTGATTGGATAATTTCTAAATGTTGGGCTGCTTGAATTGAAGACCCAGCCTCGTTGAAATTTCCTTCCATGTTCGAAAGAGGATGACGAAGTTCAGTCCCAGAAATTACGAGGAAGAAATTAGCAGTAAAAGGCGGGCATTACACCGGCCACATGGTTACCAGCATATAAGAACTGTATTTAACACGTCATAAATTGAAAAACGTGTTGATTCGACCCTAGTGAAAATCATATTTTTTGAACTACCGAAGTATCGAGGAGAATGCTGAAAGTGTAATTCTAGGCCCCGCGCGCGTTGGCCTTCCCCGTATAAAAGATTCGTTGTAAATAATCCTAATAACGTTTTGACGAAGGCGCTTGCGAGGCAAAATTTATTTTTGGCTTGTGCTTTCGAACAGTTACCACTGCGGACGCCAGCACGTGCAGCGCGAGTAACTACACTCGTAGCATGCTCCTTTGTGCTTGGGAAATTTAGCAAAAGGTCTATTGGGACGCTGTCTGCTTCTGCGTGCTATCGATACGCGCCCGATTGAGTCAAAGCAATACAATCGCTACGTTCGATTTGCCTCGATCTCCCGCACCGGTGCAGAAAGGTGTAGGGCGGCGTACTTCCGGTCGTATTTGAATACATATGCCGGAAGTACACTGTCCTACACGTTTCTGCATCGGTGCAAGGGGTTGAGGTAGATCGAACGCAGCTATTATAGAATTCCAAAGACGTTGCCACGTTGACAGTTATTGCGTTCATTTGGGCTTAGGAATGGCCAGAATCGAAAGACTATAAAACAAAATGCGGCAAGCTTATTGCTTATGCGTTTCGATTTAAGTGAGGTAAGGCAGAGCGAAAGCCTCCGACACCATTCATTGCTTACTAAAGCGCCCGATATTGCAGCTACTACGGCGTGTTAGTTCCAAAGCGAGCGCTGCTCGGTCACAGGGGTACCCCGCCATGTTTCCCCACCGAGCAGTCTACGAACCTAACATATTTAAAATGTGTTAGGCTCGTAGACTGCTCGCACCTTTTGTTCGTTCTAGATAAAGTATGTTTTGTCTATACGATATTTAAAGAAAACCAGGCGTATTTAAACGTAGGAATGCGTCAGGCGGTCTCGGGACCAGTGGCAGAGTGAGCCTTGGTGCTATAGAGCACCGCAGCTCGGACTCGGACCCCAAGAGTCGTGTGCTCGATGGCCGCCCTGCCTGTTTCTGTCTGGATGAGCATCGTAAAAAACATGCCAGAACTGTACAGAGGAGACATTTCACGCCTCTTGGGGCAGTGACGTTTCCCGCTAATTCTTATCACGCGCCAGAAAAACAAAATGCGCGTAACTCTAATGGATGATCGAGAGATGCGCCCTTAATTCGACACTGCAACGTATCGACAGAGATCAAGAAGATTTACCAGCCAAATGCGTATAGTGACTTCATATAGTTGGCACGAAAATCTACATGCCCCACCGCTTCCAGTAGTCATTGAGCGGTGTGCGCCACGAAACAGTAAAACGCGATTAAAAGCGAACTAAAATATCCGCAAATGATACTTCTATTAAGCGCCCGGAATTTTCCGTATTCTGAAACCAAATTAGATAGGAATCGTGGATTTACTTCGAGTCATAGCGGTCCAGCGGTCGACCATCCGATGACGAGAACGGCTGTATAGAGCCTCACCATCCAAGGCGCACTCCATGTTGACGCGGCCTCACGTCATCCACCGTCACACAGCACAGACAACAAACCTTCCAGCTAGGTCGTCGTATCCCAATACCGTCGCTGCCATCCCGAGGGAAATACAACCGCGGAGCTACCGCGAATCGCCAAAGCCCACGCACTGTTGTCATCGAGAATCGACTTTTGGTTCGTGATTCTGTTTCTGGAAGGACACCCCGTCCGCTGTCAAAGCACATACGATGGTTACAGAGGCACTTCTTTTCACAACAGAAGCGCTACTACCCACGTCGGTCTTCGATTAAATTAAGCTCGGAAAGCACGGAACACTGCACGCACCGTTCACCATATTAAAATTATCACTGTGGCCAGCTCTTCGCGTCGAAACAAAGATAAATCAATGAAAGCAAACCGGCTACACGTTGAAAGGCAGCCGACGCAACGTTTAAAACGCGACGTGGCCAACTTTTCTGTCATCGCGAGCCTCAAAGCAACATCAAGTTTTCATGTGGCCGCCAACATGCTCTGCGGTTACTTCAGAGGGCACTGAAAGCGGAGAGTTGCACAGGGCCTGGTGCACCGGCGCACTTGACGCATGCACTTCCAAGACCAAGGCATCTTCCCGCAGCGGCCCGGAGGGGGAAGGCGCTCACCTTGATGGAGTCGTAGCAGGCGATGACGCGTCCGTTCTGCACCTCCACGTTGGGCGGTGGGTGGGCGAACTTGCACTCGGCGTCCTGGCGGGAGCACTTGTTGCGCTGGTACTCGCGGCACACCTCGAGCTGGAGCCAGCGCGAGTCCTTCACGTTGGCGGCCGCCGCCATGATGGAGCCGGCCGACAGCGGCGCCGCGGTGACCAGCAGCGGCGACGAGGACGACGCCGGCTGCTGCACCAGGGCGCCGTTGCCCGTGGCGCTCACCACGCCCGCCGTCGGGCTCGGGGGGCTCGGGGGGGGTCGCCACGCTGGCGCCGGCCGCCGAAGGCGCTACGGGGCCCGTCTTGGAGCCGAGGGGGGGCGGGCGGGAGAGGGGCCTGCGTCTCGGGGGCTGCTTCAGGAAGCCAACAGCGGCCTTCGGGGGCCCATGCACCGTCGCCCGGCTGCCACTGCAACGACAAGGACCGCCACCGGTCAGGCATATACGCCGCCACCTCTTTCCACGTCTAGCGTTTGCGCCTCATTTTGCGAGCCAAGTTGCAAACACTTTGGAATCGAGGCACACGAGCCGCGAAATACGAAAGCTGACGACAGCCGGTGTGTATGCCATCGTGCCAAGAATACAGGCCTCGGAAAGATTCGGCCGACAGCAGGTAGAGCACAGGACATGGCGCATTTAGAGTGCCTTCATACAAACGCGCGCTTTTGCTTGAGAACTGACATCTCAGCCATTTTTCCGCCCAATCGTTTTTTTTATGCATTTTGAAGTGCGCGCAATCCGGTGTCACGCAGCTGGAGCGCGTAGCTTGTCACGCGCTTGCACATTCAGGGCAACAATGGATGTCTTCACCCTGAGACAGACAGACATGTAGGCACCCTAGGCGTATTCGGTTTCGGCACACCGTTCGGAAAACCCGAAAATAAGGAAGGAAAGCGACACACGCTCGGAGCTGCGAACCGCGGCTGTTTTCGGAACGGGACGAGTGGTACTGTGACCAGGCCGGAATAGGGAACGGTTACTTTGAAACAGTCGGTAACTTGGTTTTATGGAGGCCCCACATAAGGTGTACCAATACTCTACGCAAAGTGACAACGTTGCCGGAGGAAAGGATGAATGAAATTGTTAGGGAGAAATTAGAGAAATCCGTCCGACACAAAAACCACTCCGAATAGAGAGGGAAAGGCGAACCCTCCGATGGCTCAGAAGAACGGTTACGTGACAACATTGGGTTACGATGCAGGTTGTATATATCCTCGAGCTAGCTAAGGATTACGAGGGTTCCGTCGTATTTTCGGTGAGCGAGAAAACCAAGTATGTCGAAGGAGACTAAGAGACCAGGCTCACCCGGAAGGCAAGGACTTTTTGCTGCCATCACTGTACTCCGCTCAGCTATGGTGCTTGAAAGGCGTCTACGACTGGTATGTTCAGCGCCCTATCCTGCCCTATCCATCAAACGTTGTCCTGAAGTGACAACAAATGACGTCGGAAGAGCAGGAATGGTCCCGCTAGAGGTAGCGGCAAAAAGCAGGAGCGAACGCGAGTGTCGTATAGCGGCGACCTAACTCCTAACTGACGAAGCTTCCGTGGAGCTTCGGCGGTGTCCCACCAGCAGTGTCCCGCCGCTGTTGGGACAACGCCACGATCGCGGCCGTCGACGACACTTGTTATGACGTCATAGGGGGCAAATGGAGGACCACTTGTTTGGACGCGGCAAACACACCGGTCAGAGACGCCTTCCAGGCACCACAGTTGAGCCGCGCTGGAAGCTACGTCCTCGTTGGATCGGGCATTTATCTAGATGGCACGTCATCACGCCCATACTCAAGCACAGCAGAGAAGAAGCGATTGCGTCAGCCTCGCTGCCAGCGCGTCTTCCAGCGCCTCCCAACGAGCGCAAGGCGGCGACGCCCAGACCGAAGCTGCAACGTGTTTGCCGCTTGAGGCGGGATCCACTAAATATGACGTCACACACGGGCCTTCTAGGCGGCACTGCCAGCGGCGAGGGGGCTGGGGAAGTAGAGATGCAAAACTATCCAAGACCATCGATACTAGCGTCGAAACATATCCATAGGACGTTATCAAGAGTCAACTATCGTTAGTGCCCTCGATAGTACTATCGATAGTTGGGTATTGATATTATCCGAAGTCAACTTTCAAAAAACTATCTGGTCCTACGAAAATGAAAGCACGACCCAAAAAGGAGACAATCAGGCATATGTGCGGGCAGACAACGCTCTTAGGAAAAACTTGAAATTCAAAGGAAACTCCTATTTGGTCGAAAAAGACGCCCCACTTCCCTTTTCATACGGGTAAAGAGATGTCGCTATATTTTCGCATTTCATCACCATCGCTCGCTAGCATCATATTCAAGCAGGGTTCCGGATAACTACGAGGCGTCGTCTAGTTATCAGGGACCACAAAGGGGATTTTATTTTCCTGGTTGAGCTGTAGATATAAAAAAAAACCAAAGGGCAAACCTCCAAGAAAACAAGAGATATCTTTCATTCATAGATCGGCAATAGTTTCCACTGTGTCCGTGTGTTTTTAACCTGTTTTAGGTTGTTTCTCGATAGTTACGCTAAAATCCCTAATTGCAGTCACATGTTTCTCCGAGCTTCACGACATTCTACGACAGCTGTACACGGCGTCAACTATTCCGTGCACCATTGTCACGGCCAGCGTAACGTCCACAGCGCTGCTGGGAAAGTACCGCTCGGCCTTATCTTGCGTCTCATTCGACCGTGCAACTAGCTTTAACAGAGCTGGAGTACTGTGAAAGCTACGCTAGCCTCGGGGACGTACTACAAAATACTTGCCGAGAATAGTAATTGATAGCTTAGATTTCACTTTGAATGGTAGATAGCTTCATGATATCTGTGTATCAATAATTTTGTGATAGTCGGCTATAGATATAGTTTGGAGTTTCACGATAGTCGACGATCGATGCGGATAGTTTGTTCGATAGCATGGGGAAGGCGGCAGACGCGGCCTTCCCGAGCCTGCTCCGACCGCATCCTCGTTTGTTTGTCGTGTTGCTCCCGACGCCTTTGACTACACGCAGATAGGGTGCAAGAGCGACGCATGCGTGGAAGGAAGGAATTCCTCTTGCGCAGCCCTCTCCCCCGCCGCCCTCGGCTTTGCCTTCCTTCAGCGCATTCCGACGTCGTCTCTCGCTTCGATATGCTCGATTCGCGGAGGGAAGAGCGAAGCGGCCTTGAAACCGGTCGGGCGTGAAACAGCCTCGAACCCAATTTCTGGCGCTGGGCGCGTCGCCCAGCCTTGCCCGACCGGCGGAACCCAAACCCCTAGTCGCAACGCTAACACAAATGGGGAGGGAGGGGCAAACAAAATGCCTAGCCAATTTTCCAGGGAGTATTTTACGATAAGGAAAACGACATGCGCGCGGCAACGCCCCTCGCAGAGCACGGGGCGACCAACCACGGCGTCAGGCGGCTGCATCTATATTAACGTTACTAAAACACTCGGTTGCGAAACTCACCCTCGAAACCTGGACCGCTCGCGTCCACAGATACTAAACGAAATACAATAACGGCGCCACCCTTTAGCGACGAGTCAAAACGGGAAATTTGCTTTCTATAGCCAAGATCGCCCTGCATGCGAGATTGCGTCACCAGCCCTTGCGCGACTCGACCCTGCTATGATAAGGTGGCACCGATCCGTACTCGAGAACCGAACTAATGGCGATCGCAACGCCGCCGTTTCTCCCACGCGGCCACTCGAGGAACTAACTGCGCGGCAGCTGGGTGTTGGTTCGTGAGTGTCGCATTCGATAGCGTCCACTGTGACTGTTCTATTTTGGCTTTAATCGGCCATTTTGGCGCCGAAACACACACGGTGGAAAGGGTTTCAGGGAAACGCGAATACAACCATGTATCCACTTGGCGACCACCGCCGTGAAGACCGCTATTAGGCCTAACGCTCTTCACGATCACATCATCATCAACATCATCCCACATGCATCAAGCCAACAAGCTTCACCTCAACCTCGCCATCATCCCCTACGTGTTTTTTTTTTTCTTCTTCTTTTTAATGTGGGTGTTTGTAGGCACCTGGTATGGGCCTTCGGCATCTCTGCTGTACCTACAGACTCAGAAATAGAGTAAATGAAATAAACAGTGTGTGTGGTCCGTCCGTCTCTAACGAAAAGCGAATGCGGTCGTAGTTGCTTGTTGCAAGATAGAGTTGGCACTGATTTAGGCCTCTAGAAACTATCTGGAAAGTCTACAAGATTAAAGGAGAAAACGCGCTCACCAAGTAGGAAACAACAACCGCGCGATGTGTTTTTAAAATTTTTTCTGCAAACAACGAATCCGCACAGATTTCATTGCCGGATGGCCTTGGATATGAAGACCGTAAAGGGCTTACATTGTTGCGGATGTTTATAGCTGTCTATTTGTAAACAAAATAACTTTGTTGCAATGCTTACCCGCAGGTCTTAATTAAAAAAAAAAAAACGACTAATGAGTGCGCAGTTGACTTCAAAGCACAGTCGAAAACCCAACGACCTGGGTGCGCCGGCAGCGGGATTTGTGCAAGGCGTTCATTCAAATACATAAAAAAAAAAAACGTAAAACACCTATAGCTTCGACGTGACGGCGGTTCTTTGGCTAACAAAATCCTATTATATATGGCTGGGAAGTTGAACACGTGCGGAGATTCCATTTTCTGCGCTCGCAAGAGACGCAGCGGTTCAGGGAAGTAGTGCCGGTGAACGCCATTTCTACTGAAGTAACCGAACTTGGAAGAAAGACTGCCAAATTCAAGCTGAAGATATATAATAAAGCGTCAATCATTTTTTACAGCCACCAACGTCGTGCGCAACACTTTGAATGCCTGCTTTCATCGCAGCCGACTGCGTGGCTATGAAAACAGATGTTCAAGGACTCGCGGAGGACGTCAGTAGCGGTAAAATAGGATAATAACGAATAAGGTTCATTGCCAAGAGCAATTCCCCGAGACACACCAGATAAAAAAAAAAGTATTTAATGCGAACCAAATAAAAAAAAAAACTTCCAAATAACCCAGATAAAACAAATAACAATATAAAAAGCCACAATAAAATATATCAAATGGTGACTCGCCGCCACAATGACGTAAAGCACCTATGTGTCTATCTCTCGGAGTCCTGCATGCCTTCGTCCTCCATACTGTCGCGTCAAAGGGTAAAGAGCCTCCCCGTGAATCATCCGACACCTTTGTATGTCCTGTAGATACTGAGTTGCATTACCAAAGGCCTTGTGTTGGGTAACCAGCGAGCTCCGGGGAAAA